ATGAAGGACAGAGGGAAGGGAAATGGAATCATTAATCTTGACAGACCCCTTCCCAGCAATGGGAACATGAGATCCATCAGCTGTGGAGACTCTATCTCTACCAGAACAAAGTTGATAAGAAGAAAAAATAGTGGAACTATGGGTCATGTGCTTTGAGGCTCCAGAATCTATAATCCAAAGAGGTCTCTCCTTACCTGTAGTAGAAACATAATTTGCAGTGGCATGTGAACTACCTGTGTGAGTAAAGAAAGTGGAGTGTTCTCCACTAGAACCACTTGTACCTAGCTGTCCACCTGTTACTGAATTAGGACTGACTGTATCCTGTTGATTCAGGAACTGCCCATATCTCTCAAGTTCGGCCCTCACTGCAGCAGCTGCAACTCCAGAGTAGTTGTAGTAGGAGGGGCCGGTATGTCACCAGTGACTGCCATGTGAGCATTTCCCTTCTTGTTTTTAAGTCTATTCGGCACAAGATGAGGATGAAGCTTCCAGCAGGTATCTCTTGTGTGTTTAGGCTTCTTACAGTAGTCACAAATCAAATCCTTTTTGTCTTCCTTTCTGATTTCACTGCCACCTCGGTCTCCACCTTGTTTAGGTCTCACAATGCTAACCATGGCTGATTGATCAAAACTAGAAGTTTTCATCATCACATTTCTCCTGCTCTCTTCCCCTAATACAATGGCATATGCCTGGGAGTGAGTAACACTGTCCCTGGAAAGAATATGCTGTCTTGCAATATCATACTCGGGATTAAGGCTAACAAGAAATTCAAAAACCCTATACTTCTCTAAGAGCTTCTGGTAGGCAGCTACATCCTTGGTGGTTTCCCAAACAATTGTCTCTAGATGGACAATCTCTTGCCACAGGGTTTTAAGGGCTGAAAAGTAAACAGAAATAGGTCTATCTCCTTGCCTTGTAGCAATAATCCGATTCCTTAACTGATAGGTCCTAGCAACATTCTCACTCTGTGAGTAGGTTTCTACAACCCCATCCCATATTTCCTTACCTGTATTTGCCCACAAAAAATTCTTACTTATATGGGGCAGCATCGAATTATACAACCAAGTTATCACCTTATAATTTTCCTGTACCCACCAGGAGCTATTAGTTTTGGGTTTCACTTCTTCACTAGTGATATACCCTAACTTTCCGCGAGCACCAATGGCCATCTTTGCAGATTGTGACCATTCTAAGTAATTTGAACCATCCAACTTAACTGAAGTAATGGTCCCAGCCCCGAAAAGGTCTCCGACACCTCCTCCCACTGGTGCCATTTCACTCTCGGGTTTGTTTTCAACCTGTTACCCTCCATAATTCTCAAAAAGGGGTTAGAAGGTTACTGTAAGATGAAACAATATCAAATAAATCACTTTTGGTACCACCGACACCCTTCTAGTGCCCTAGATGATCCTCCCACAAGATTCCTTTTCTACAGTACGGGAGAAAAGAGAGAAGAGGTAGCCGCTCTGTCCAAAGACCTCCAAAACAAGTACGACTTGAACCACCCCTTCAAAAAACTCCAAGGAACCCTAAAAATTTAGGGCGTCACTTCCTAGGTCAAAATTGAAGAGTCCAACAAAAATAGGACTCTCCTCTTTTCTCCAGTTTTTCCTGAATTTGATGGGAAACCCTAGACCAGCTACAAGGCAAAACAAATTCACCAAAAAATCCAAAAACTGGGCTTACCTGAGATCTTCGATCAGCCTCTCAAATCACCATGCAGTCGGCCGATCTAGGGCTGCATGATTGAACAACTCAAGGAACCTTCGGCTTGCTCTGATACCAAGTGGAAATCACTGATTGCAGTTTTAGATGAATTCCTTGTGAAGAGAAAGAAGAAGAAGATGAAGAGTTTCAGCAGTAGAGAGAAGAGAGGAGAAGAAAAGGAGTGGGATGTCAACCAGAATTGAAAATTAGTTCTGGCCGCCAACCCCTCTTTGTATTATATACTCAAATTAAAAGAATAAGAGATTACAAGAATGCCCTTAGTAGGGCGGCTACTTAAGTAGCTGAACAGTCTCAACTTAAAAAACATAAACTAATGGGCCTAAAGCCCAATAACTTCCTAACTTAACAACTTAAAAATAAAAGAATAATAACTGGGCCCAATAACTAGAAATCGGCCAACTCAACAATGATGAATTTAGAAATAACAAGATAGCCTAACATGTTGAGTGGTTAGTTCAAATGACCACAACATTTCCATGCAACCTTCCAATGAAAAACATAAATTAATGGGCCTAAAGCCCAATAACTTCATAACTTAACAACTTAAAAGTAAAAGATAAATAACTGGGCCCAATAACTAGAAATTGGCCCAACTCAACAATGATGAATTTAGAAATAACAAGATAGCCTAACATGTTGAGTGGTTAGTTCAAACGACCACAACATTTCCATGCAACCTTCCAATAAAACACAAATATGCTATCAATCATATGAAAAACCAAATCACCCCATGAGTGCATGCCTAGGTGATTTGGTTTTGACGAGTTCACATGGTCACAACACTTTTTTTTGCAACCCTACATTATAACACAAGCATGGGGGTGATCCACTCTTGGCTGACTGTACACCCGTTGTTTAAAGACAGACATCCAAGTGCTTCTTTTGAGGTTAATCTTTTGTTTGTAAGGAGGGAGTAGTTTTCGTGATTAGGGGATTGAGGGCTGTATGGGTGCTGTTTTGGTTTCTTTGTATATCCTCTGTTCCTTTCTCTTTGTACAGGGGTTTCTATAGTTGGTTTTAATGAAATCACTTTACCTTACAGTTTTCAAAATATATATATATATATAACACAAGCATGCTAACAATCAAATGAAAAATCAAATCACCCAATTAGTGTATGCCTTTTTTCTACCCTAAATGATACAAAAATAGTCAACTAACATATGAAAAAATAGAGATTACCTCTAAGGTCTACTACCTTACTATGACTAAGGGTGTCAATGGACTTATTATTCATAAAAAAAAGGGTGTCAATTGACCGGTTTTGGACTGAACCCCTTTCAGTCCAAAATCAATTTGGGATGGATTAGACGGACCAAAAAGACATAGTGGGTTGGACCAATCTGATTGAAAATATTTATTAGATTGGACTGGACCTAGTCCATCCATGATAAATTTATATTGGATTTGGTTGGATTAAGCCAATATCCGGTCCATTGATATAAGATAAGAATATAGGTGTCAATGGACTGGGTTTGGGTTGAAACCAATCTAAATTAAAATAAGTTTGAACAAATTGGACGGTCTGAACATTGAATTGGACCGGTCCAAAATGGTCCAAATTATTCATTGGATTGGATTGGACCTGGTCCATTTGTAATGGACTCACATTGGACCGGATCCGATTGGACCAAATCCAGTCCAATCGACACCCCTAACTATGACAATCAAGAAATGCCAAGGTACCTAACATGTGTTGTGATGTATTCACAGGGTCACAATACTTTCTTGTGGCCTTCCAATAAAACATTAACATGCTATCAATCAAAAGAAAAACCAAATCACCTAGTGATTGCATGACTGGGTGATTTGATTTCAATGAGTTCATGTGGTCACAACACCTTGTGATGACCCTGCAATAAGTCATGAACATGCTAATAATCAAATTTAAAACCAAATCACCTTGTGGGTGCATGCCTAGGTGATTTGGTTTCATTTAGTCCACATGAGTGCATGCTTATTGTTTCTACCCCATGTGATACATGAACTACCCTTTATCATATGATAAAATGGAGACTACCTCTTGGATCCACTATCTTATTAGGAATATCAAGAAGTACGAAGGTACTAACATATAGAGGGCTGAGTTCACATAAGAATAACACTTTCTTGTGGCCTCTAAAAAGACCTAAACATGCTATAAGTCAAAGGATAAACCAAATCACCAGTGAGTGCATGCCTAGGTAATTTGATTTTCTTGAGTTCACGTAGTCACAACATTTCCTTGCAATCACCCAATAAAATACAAACATGCTATTATCAATCAAATGAAAAACCAAATAACCTAGTGAAGGCATGTTTGCTATTGCTACACCAAATGATACAAAAACAACCCACTATCATATAAAATAGAGACTACCCCTAGAATATACTACCTAACTATGACAATCAGGTAATACCAAGGTAGCTAAAATAGCTTAACATGTAGAGTGATGCCTAGGTGATAAGGCGCTCATGGAGATCACCTTACTTAATCGCCAAGATATTTTTTTACACACTGCTCTTGGATACTTAATATTCGTACCTTTCTGAGATTATAATAATAAAACAGATATTATTAAATAAATTATTCAGTTTTAGATGAAATACTAGTTTCTTTTTATTATCTTTTATTTGTTAAATTTCAACCCAGATGTATACTGTCTTGAACCCTCGAAGACTTCAAATCCTGAACTAGTAATGGAAGGACTCAAAATTTTGTCCAATCAACACATAATGATTTTCTTTTCTTTTTCCTCTGTTTTCTTTTCTTTTTTCCTCTGTTTTCATTTCTTTTCTTCTTAGGACAAAAATAGAGGCTTGGCCCCCCTATTTTTTGAAGTTCCTTTTTTTCTTCCATTTCATGAATATATGTTGATTCTTTATGTTTTAAATGAAGTTTATACATTTTTTTTATGAAGATTATAGACAATTAGTAGTGAAAGATGGTTGCTGCTTGCTATGAAACCTAGGGAATTACCCTCGGATTCATTGTTTTCATTCCAAAAAGTCCCTTCACCTAGGTGATGCCTAGGTCCCTGCCTCTAATGAGCTGGACACCCTGGGGCAAGTCTTGTACCTGTAATGAGCTGCATATAATTTCATTGTCTTCTCACTTGTTCAACTTTTTGAAAGAAAAGGCCAAACTCAGACACCTGGCTGAGTTGAAGCTGAGTTTTATGACCTTGATTCATCGTTTGTATTTTGTAATTCAGTGGCTACAGGAAACTCATTTTTAGTTACCATTGTCAATTTGTTCTCATCATCCTCTGCTGCTTTGCTTTTTATTGTAGCAGGTCTAGGAGAAATTCAGTTTCATCTTGCACTGTCAACAGGTGTATCACCTGTTGGCCCTACATACAAGGGGGCTTCAGTTAGAGTAAATAAAGGCAAAGAATCTGCATGTTCTACATGGCTCACTGCCAGAAGAGAAGGGTTTGTTGAGAAGTTTGATGGTCAAAGAATTCTACATGATATTGATGATGAGGTATATGATCTTAAAACTATTGAACTTGTAGTCAATTCAGTCAATTCATGGTCTTGAAATATGCTGCTAAACCTTTTCCAAAGCCATGAGTTATAAAGCGTTGTGTAAGACACAGTGGTTTCTTGTTATTTCACTTTTTTTGTTGCCAATTTATGACTTAATGGATACCTTCCATTGCAGCAAGTGGCTTGTCACCGCTAGCCAAACACCTGGCTTGATTGTTTTATGGATTTGCAGTGTTTTTTCTCTTAGTTCATCAGATGTTGATTTGTTGACTATGTTAAACAAACATGGCAAGGACTATGATACCTGGATATATGTACAAGGTGCTGTTTTCTGTTGGATACTTCAATTTTTAGTGTAAATTCCACATTCAATACCACATCCAGCTATGTCCTTGCTGTATTTGGGAAAATTGGGCAAGGACATGGTTTGGGCAAGGTGTCTGATACAGAAAATTAAGTGTCCGACATGGACACAGCTCTTATTTTGAAGTGTCCATGCAACATAGCTTTTTGATTACTACAATTCATATAATCTCCCTAATCTTTGTTGTTTTGACAATTTGTGCATCTGTTGTTTCTTTTCTAAATCATGCAAGCATGGATATGAACACATCCACCAAATCTTATCCATGCGCATCACATTTGTTTTTCACTCCTGATAGATGTAGCTCCTTATTTATGATTTCCAGTGGTGAACAAAATGAGACAAGTTTCTTGGAAGGAACAGAAGTCGTTTTTTTTATGCTTTATATACACATGATGCAAACTTGGTGGCATAAACTCATATCAATATATAAAGGGGGTAAAATTAGCTATTTTCCCCCACTGAAATGTTAGTATCTATACTGCCCAATGGTTCTATAGGCTTCTTACTGGAAAAAAATGTTTTTAAAGGCAGAGTTGTGAGTCAAGGCACTATGGTCTTCTAATGCATGAAGGACCACAAGATACTAAGCTTTGTTACAGATTCTGTAAGACTATAAAATGCTTTTAATATAAATCAAACACCATATTAATCCTTAAACTTGGGCTTGTAATGAGAACCTATTGTAACTAATGTATCAATTTTCAAATGGATGCAAGGGATCTTAGAGCTTTAGGCTTGTACCTTCTAAGACATTAGGCAAGCCTCAAGGTATAAACCTTACATTGCTTTCTAGAACACTGATAATGTTCACCTAGTTGGTTGCCTCTTGGCAAAAGCTTTAACCACATTTTATTCTTGCATGATTTTTTTCTCCTATCAAACATGCCTAACAAGGATCATGGGTTGCCTACAATAAAATACGAAATGATGGCAACCATGAATTGATGTGTTTGGCTATGCTCCTTGTGCGCCAATTAATTACCTTCCAAATTACAATATCACATTTTATGAGAGATGCATTTATGTTGTATCAATATTCAAATACCCTATGGAATGAGGAAAAGGATAGGGACTATTGGGGACAGCACTTTGGGTTGATAATATAGAAATCATTTATTCTGTGAGATATACAGAAAGCATTTTAATAGATTTGTTCTCTGAAGGTGCTCTTGGTTCAATGAATATTTAATTTAGCAATATCATGCTTTCTTTATTGTTTTCATTCTGTGCTCTGGGAACTTGTCATTTTAATTATGCCCTCCTTTTCTACAGTTGAAAGTTTCAAGAATTACTGCAAATTGCCTTGAAACAGTAGAAGGAAACAAACATATCTTCTTATATGTTCTATTATGTCTCAAGAAATGTTCTACCTTAAGTGCAAAATAATATTTGGCAGATGGGAAATGGCATTTTTTGTGATGATCTGTACATCGGGGTTGTGAAACGAAGGAAATGCTCAATTGGATCAGAGAAAGGGAGGCTGGTCTCATCATTGGCATTTCATGAAGTTTTGGGGTAAAGATACAAAACTTTTTTGGCATCCATTGATAGTCTTATTTGGTGTTTTAGTCACACATTTATGATTGTTTCAAATAGGAATACACGATTTCTGGTGATCACCTTTCATAACATGAACCATGTATATGGCACATGGGGCACCGCCTTTTGTTATATTAGAGAAAATTTGGTTAAGGACATGCTGTATAACATATTTCTTCATTATCTGGCGTTTTTCATTTTCTAGCAACAAGTTGATGTGGATGGGTGAAAATATTGCACCATGACTTTGGTAATATAACTGTGTGCAAGTGGTAAAACCTGTCAGAAGAGCTCCCACTGGAAAAGTCCATGATGAAAACTTGAAACTTAGAATGTAATGTTCCTCCTCTAATAACTTAATAGAACTTTTAGTTGAATGGTGGAATGCACACTATTGCATACAAGTTTCTTGAATCTACAACTGGTGTCTAGAGTTCTAGGAAATCTTTTTTTTTTTTAATCCCTAGTCAACTAATCTATAAGGTAGTAGCTGGTTGAGTATTTTTTGTTATTTTCTTCCTCCAATTTAAAGATCCCTAAATACTGATCTCTTTTCACAGGGGAGATGAAGAATACCTTTATGTTAAGGGTAATGGAATTAAAACAGGGGATCCCTTCCGCTTCTATCATCCAGACCCTAAAGTTGCTTTAACATCTCGCAACAATGTCTTTGAGGATTTCAGAATTTTGAAGCAAGACTTGTACTGCAAAGGTTGTCATCATGTGAGGGGTACTGCAGAGGCTGGTGAAAGGAAGTTAGTCTTCGGAGGACTTGTATTCTCTTGCTATGGTCGTGGAGAGTCCTTTTTTGGATGCCCGAAAGTTGATAGCTTAGCTTTCTTGGAGGATTTTCCTGGGATACCATTAGCTGGAATGTTTTGTGGTGGGGAGATTGGCCGCGGCTTCGCAAGCTCAGCCATGCAATATGACAGTGAAGAACGAAGTACTCCCAGTTGCTGTCTACATGTTTACAGCACAGTGTATCTTGTGATGTTGTATACTTCAAAATCTCCGGAATGTTAGGATCTGTGGAGGTCAAGCAGAAGATGGTCCATTTATACTTGGAGGCGTGAGCCGTATATTGGGTCTGGTTTACTTTTAGGATATACAGTCGATCATGGATGTTATACAACGCTGGGATAATCTGATATGCATGCCTGGATAACATGTTTCTGCATGACGTTGCTACCGGCTGGATCATGATTTGCTGCATATTTAATGACTATGATATCGGAAAAATTTTTTACCAATCAACTGGTATCATAAATGTGATAGCCAATCAGGTGTTTTTTTATCAATCAGGTGTTTTTTTATCAAAAGTCACAGGTGGGTTTTGATTGGTCAAAACTCTTAGATATCGTATCTTTCCTGCATCATAGATTCTCCCATTTAATACTCAGATATATACGCTGGATAAAAAAAAGTTTATGGTGATTTTGAGAGAAGAGTTCTTTGAATGAAAGTATGTTACACTATATACTACGTCTAATGATCCTCCCCTTTCATAGTTAATATCTTCTGCCCTACTGTCAATTGCTTACACAAATTCCGAACTATTTTATTAATGGACAAAATGAAGCCAAATTTCTCTTTCTAGCAAAAAAAAACTGTAGAGAGAAATGAAGGCTATGAATTGCCAATTGATCTCTATGCATGATGCTGGATTTTGTTTGGGTTAACGATGAAAAGAAGCTCTAAAAGACCCAAAGATTTCTTATTTCATTCACTGATTTTTATTTTACTGGAAAGGCGACGAGGCATGGATGTTGTCACTGCAGATGCACATGTGCTCTCTGCTATAACCCACGTAATGCATGTAGTTACCTTGTATAAAATGTGGCATCAAGAAATTAGTTTGTCCTGATTTTTCAAAGAGTGTTTCGCCCATCCAAATCAATAATAATATTCCATTGTTTTGTTTCATCTTTTATAGTAGAGATCTCATTTTTTAGATTTTTGAAATACCATTCTCTTTAGATTTGGGGAAAATAAAGTTATGAGGTCTTCCACATGCCCTCGCCTTGGAGGTTTTGACTAGTGAATCTTGTAACTTAAGAGTTGTTTGAATACTCTCAACCTAGGGAGACTATGCAGAACCATGAAGTGGCAAGTGATGAAGCTCATACATCACATGGGAAGATCTCAAACTTTGGATGTGTTTGTTTGGTCCTTTAATGGGTTGTTTTTATTGTCTATCTTAATTTAAATCCCTAGCAGAGATTTATTGTGTTCGCTTTTTCTTCATCTTTTGCTTATGCTCTCAGCTCTCTGATGTATACATGATCCAAGATATGTTCCAATAGACAGCAAAATATGCATTAGCATGTTATGATAAAGAAAAATTCATGTAAAATTCCGTTTCAAGAATGAAAAGATAAAAGATGCATTAAATTCATACATGTTTGGACTTCACCAATATATTTTCATGTAATTATTATCCAAGGTTCAAAGTATGGATTTCCACAGAGTTCGGCGTTTTGGCCTCTTTTAAATGATAATAGTTGATGTGATATAACACCTGGCAGATTATTGTGCCAAATAAATAGAAAAAGTTAAGAATTTCGGTAGAATTTTTTTTAGAAGTCTCCTCAGGCACGCTTGAGACCAAGTTTTAATTTTTGCAAATTTAGCCAATTTATGAGCAGTTATGTTAGCTTTTCTAGGAATGTGATAAAATTGAATAATATGAGAAGCAACAAAACAGCTGTTTGCAGTCAACGAGCAAAACACTAATAGACTACGGTGGATCCGATGGGTCTACCAACAAACACTAATAGACAACGAGCAAAACAGCTGTTTTGCAGTCAACAAAACAGCTGTTTGCAGAAAATAGAGATGGGGGTAGTGCGACCCCAAAGATCGTTCCATCTAATTTTCTCAATTTCTCTCTTGTCTTGAGTAGAAGTGGAATCTAAAAAGCAATTGTGACCTAAGTTTGCCGAAAAATTCACCATAAAGTTTGCCTCTCTATGGACATGAGTGAACCTGAACCTCTTTTGACTGCTTCTACATAACACTTGGATGTCTTTAGTGATGCTAGACGAGGACCATGGATGCTTGCACTTTGAATTGATGCACGCGATGGTGAGGGCAAGTCTCCTTCGACAGTGAAATCTTCAAATGGTAACTCCAGCACACCTTGAAGAGCCTCCCACACCGCCCAAGCCTCCGTCACTGTAACGTTGTTGAAGCATATGGAATGGAAGTTGAATGAAAGAATAGCTCCAAAACAGTCTTTGGCTACCCTAGCTATACTAGCCAAACCGGTGGTGCTTCTAACAGAAGCATCAAAATTGATTTTAACATGATTCATCTTGGAAGATTTCCATCTTACATAAATAACATCTCTCCTACTCTCTCTTGAGATGGAGAGTAGAGATGCATCCTTGAAGTCTCTAAGGTCACAAGTAGCGTTTTCTAATACATTTGCTGGGGAGGGGGTTAGAGAATTAAAGATCACATTATTTCTTTGCTTCCAAATGTTCCAAATAATATATGCCAATTTTCTCATGATTCTATTTCCCCCCGGTCTTTGGATATTGTTCCCCACCAATCTATAAACCTTTCATTGGATTTAGGCCCCATTTGGAGGGGGAGGGGGGATTTAGAAGGGTCCAGATTTTATTTGAGAAAGTGTAATTCACAAATAAATGGTCAATCGATTCCAACTCTGAGTTGCAAAAAGGGCAATTGGGGTCTATGTTTATGCCTACACTCGTGAGTCTTGACCTTGTGGGTATTTTTCCCATACTTAAGAACCACAAGAATAACTTCACTCTTGGCTGAATTTTCAATTTTCTAATAAGAGACTTCACAGTCAAAGCTTGTTCATTATCGCTATCAATATCAACTTGAAGCTAGGTCGCCGAATTAATAGTAAATTCCCCATTGCAACTCCGACCCCAGCGTATTTGGATTTTAGAATACTCCTAACTCAGCGTATTTGGATTAAAAAACTCACTGACCTTACTGTTAATATTGATAATGCTAAGGTCACCCAGGTCCAACAATTTAAATAAAGGACCTTTCCAAAATAGAATATTTTCTTCATTTCCCATACTAAGTATTCCTTTTCAATTAAGGGACATGTTAGCTTCCCATAAATTTTGATTTTTGAGATATTTATTTCGGACTACTTTTACCCATAAACTATCATGATCGTTCAACACCCTCCATCCTAACTTAGCCATGCAAGCCATATTGATGTTTTTAGCCTCTCGAAAGCCAAACCCTCCAAGACTAGTTGGCTTGCATAAGTTTTTCCACTTTGTCCAAGCAAATTTTTCCTTGTTCGAGCTTTCACTCCAAAAAAAAAATCTCTTTAGATTTTATCAATTTCCTTAAGTGTTTAAGCCGGAATGGGAAAGTAAAGGGATGATGACACTAGTCACACACTTAATTAGAACCACTTTTCCCGCTCTAGAGAGAGTATTGGCCTTCCAATCACTTAATTTGTCTTTAAGCTTTTGGATAACTAAACCAAGACACTCTTTTCACTCCGAGTACTAATAACAGGGGCCCCTAAATATTTTTCAGATTTCGCAGGGATTCCAAGATTTCAGGCAACAAATTTTTGGAGGAGTCTAGTGGGCAAATTTTTTGAGAAAAAAACTTTTGATTTATTAAAGTTAACCTTTTGGCCTAATGCCATCTCATATTGATCAAGGATTAATTTGATCTCAATTCATCCATTAATAGACGCCCTATCAAAGATCATGCAATCATCTGCAAATTGTAGAATAAGAATCTTCAGGCATCCTGGGGTTCGATTTTGAACTTTTTAGAAGCCTTTATGATTTTGCTTGTAAGGGATTCTGCACAAAGAATAAAGATGTATGATGAGAGCTCTATTTCCTTTCAATCTTGGGCCAAATAACCCACTAACAATTATTCTAAATGATGGGGTAATGATGCATTGCATAATCCAGTTAATCCACGTGTGACTAAATCCCAATTTCTTGTGGCAGTCTTCTATAAATTTCCACTCCAAACGGTTGTACGCTTTTTCCATATCTAATTTGTAGCTCATCCAAACTTTTGCTCCTTTTTTCCTTTTCATAGAATTGAAAACTTCATGTGCTATTAGAATATTATCTGTTATTTGTCTTTTAGGGACAAATGCACTTTGAAAAGAAATATGGGTCTGAGCCTATTAACTAGAATCCGAGCTATGGTTTTATATGCCACATTACATAAACTAATTCATCGATAATGTTCAAGAGACTAGGATTCACAATTTTTGTGATAAGGACCATGAGAGTTTTATTAATCTTTCTATTCAACTTCCCGTTATGAAAAAATGATTTAATCATTTTTATCACACTCATGCCCACAATAGGCCAAATTTTTTTGAAAAAAAATGCTTAAAGGCCATTTGGAATGTGATCCAAAGCTTCCCTGATCTCACAGTCAGAGACCGACTTACAAAGGTTCCTATTATCCTCATTTGTAATAATAGATTTTGTTGCCTCTGGGAAATTATTTATGTCCCTAGTCCCATTTGATGTCAATCTGTCCTTCAAGCTAGTTATTAAAATATGTTGAATGTCCTCATGTCTAGTGGTATAGGACCCATCTGCCATCTTAAGCTTGTTGATTCTATTTTTGTGCCATCTAATGATTGTAGCAGTAGCAGTAGCAGTAGCAGTAGCAGTGTGAAAAAATATCGTGTTCTGGTCCCCTAATCTTAACCAATTAATTCTTGACTAGATTTCTTGCCTTTTTTGTAGAATGTTCATTAAGGAGACTTTTCTCCTTGTTGACCCATTATCTGTTATGTTATTGGGGTTGTGCTGAATAAAGTGTTGTGTCCTTTGCAACTTTATCCTTAGCTCTTTTAATTCTTCATGGATGTTTCTATAATGACGCTTATTCTACACTTTTTCTAAGCCCCTAAGTTTTTGACATCTTCTTGTTAATTGAAATCCCCTAAAACCTGAGTATTCGATGTTCCAAGCCTCTCTCATCACATTTTCCAGATTTGGATCGGTAGGCCACATAGCTTCAAAGCGAAAAGGCATTAAGCCTCTCCAGATCTCAGGGTCAGTATTCGATATGATGGGGTGTGATCAAATTCAATAAAGGGCAGGGCTGTTAGTTCTGCATCGGGGAATTCCCGGCCTCCTCATTGCTAGTGCCCGGGTTGGAAATAAAAAGGTATCGCTTTGCATAATTCAACCTGTAATAATACTATTTTAGTGAAGTATTTATAAATATGTATAATTAATATGCATGATCTGTAGGAAAAATT